GCATTCAGGTCTGTCACTTTTCAAACTCCACCATCCTTCACAATGTTCCCGTGAATGGGCTATACCCTTGCTGTATGTATTTGTTGGTGTAGGAAAGCCACATGTGTATCTTGTTGAATTTAGTAGGGGTCAGCATAGTGTGAGCTGTTCTCACTCATTTAAGACTATACCTCACAAACAAATTATTTTTTGCCCTTTCTGAAACAGAGTGCTCTGTAAAGGCAACATATAGCATGTTCCAAATCTGGAGTCTTTCTAGAAATTGCCTGCATTATCACATGGTGGAAAACCATTTGAACTCCTTATTTCATGCCCTGAAACAAAACAAGGACAACATTGTCGTAGTTAAATAATCAGAAGCAGCTGGGGAAATGGTCTTTGGATTCTTTCAGAAATTTTACCTCTGGGCTGAGAAGTCCTGTCATCCTATAAGGCAATTGTTTTGGAAAGTTATGAGCCACTAAGTGGGAGGACTTGACTTATAGCCATAAACTATGTGCTGGAGGACCTCCCAGTGACATCAATGGGAGTTGCACGCACAAAGACAGAGCAGCACATGACCACTGAAGTAAAGGAATCATCTCATTCATAACTTACTTGGAGGATCCAAACTTACTTGGATCCTTATTTGGAGGATCCAGATAACTTACTTGGAGGATCCAAATCCTTACACAGAAGGATTTCAGTAGTGTCAGTGGAATTTGGATTTAGGATTATGGAAAAAAGGCTCTTTCATAAAAGCAAACAGAAAAACTTACTCAGAAACTAACTAAACAGCAGGCAAGCCTATAGGAAATCTGTCATAGTGAGGGTTTTTCTACCATCTTCTGAGCACAAGAATGAAAGTTTTAAATTTGTGCAAATTTTCAATCTAGGTGTTTTTGAGAAGGGTTGAAAAAGTCATAATGTCAAAGTCTAAGCACCACTGATCACATCCTTATTTTGGTGTAAGGGAGGCTACAGGCAAGACCTGGTCCTGCTCCAGGTAGCTTTTGAAGGTTCAGCCAGAACTCAGCTGCTTCTCTGGTGTGGCAGGTGCCAAAGCACCCAGTAAGTACTTACACCTTAAATAGTCATCCTTCCCACGCTAGCATTTCAAAGAAACAACTCTGTGATCTTCAGAGTGACTGCTCAAATCAGCAAATATTTCAAAACATGAGGCTGGTAAAGCATCTGGGAACAGCATGTACACTCCTGAAGGGATGTGCAAGGCTTTTGAATAAGGGTGAGGATGCAGCTATTCCGTAACTGCCTATGAACAGGGAGGTAGAGAGGTATATTACCTATATGAGAGAATTAATAATGCATAGGAAGGGCCCAGCAGTCTAGGCCAATTTCAAGAGTGTGACAGAGTATAAAGTACAGCTCCTCTAGATGAAGGGGTACTGGGTGGAAACTGCAATGATGGGACTTTAAACACTAATGTTTGTATCAACACAGAGTGTGGGATGGTGGGATCAAAGCAGTGTCTAATGGTGTCATCAGATTCAAATCCACTAAGTTGGTTTTGTAGGACGAAGGAAAACAAGACTCAGTTTTGAAGCTGTTTTCTCATGTAATTTTTTTTTTTTGTATTTTGGTTTGGTTTTGTTAGTTGGTTAGTAATTTACTTGAAAGAATCCTGAGTATAAGCATTTCCTACTCTCACAGGAATTACAATACACTGAAGCACTCTTTGAAGAGAATGTGCCATACTGAGTTTGCAGGTAGGGACTGTGTAGTCTTCTCATCCATCTCAAACAGATCTGCAATTTATTTCTTTATGATTGTTTGCAGTGGTTATAAAATTTGGACTTTCTATTTGACTTACTCTACAATACCACAAAACAGTTTTGTTCACAACAGTCTATATTTACACAGCATTATAAAGCAAGAACATGGAACAAGCAGCTACGGCATTTATCACACTCTCCCAGTGGTTAAAGTCAATCAGCTTTTGGCCTCAAGCCATAACATAACTGGCTACCTTCAGAAAGAGCCACCACAAGTGCACAGGCTGTCATCATATCGTGATGACTGATGATCCAGTGACATGAGTGTGGTGCACAGTTAAGACCACAGGAGATGTCCATGGAAAATAGAAGAGTGCACAGAAATTTTACATAAACAGTGTTGAAAAGCACAAAAAACTTTGATTAATTTCTTACACTTATTTTTTACAGTTACTCTCTCTCACTCCTGTTTCATGATATAGTAAGAAGTTTTAGAAGTGTGTGTATATAATCCTCCACCCAGAAACTTCCAACAAATAAAACAGCTTTCCTATAAAATAGTTTTGAAATTAAATAGCCATTGATTTGAAAGTTAAAAACTAAGCTAATTAAAAAAATTTTAAATTGGCATCCTCAAACTTGTCAATTCTATTTAATAAACTGTTGTTGCCCTCTAGTGTTCAAACACAGCTTGTAAATGCCCCTCTGAAAGGTCCAGTCTGGTCACCTAACAATTCCGTTTGCTCTTAATCCAACAAGACAAATGGATGGGAAAAAAAAAAAAAAAAAACAAAAACAAAAACAAACCTGCCTAATACCTACTTTTCTTTGCTCAATCATGAAAAAGGATTTTTAATGTAAGAACATTTGAAGTTGTTTTACTCAAATATTGTGAAAGGATGCTCTGCTTGGCATCCTCACCAAATCAGTCATGGTACCTGTGCACCTCTCTGCTTTACTTCTGCCATTCACTGTGCTTGATGTACGTCACTGTTTGGGTTGGAGAGTGATGTTTCTAATGATATTAACCAAATACATGCGCAGTATTCTTAACAACCCCAGGATATGTCTGCCAGTGGTCTCTTGAATGTATTTCTGCTGTACTGGACCGTATCAATTCCAACCATCCCTCCCTCCAACAAATTTGTTATTACAGCAGAAATGCACAGTGAGGATTCAGGGGTTTTTCTCTGCACCTTTCCTGCAATAAGCTGCTGTGATGGCATTGGCAATGTAGAAGCCTTCTCAAAGTTGCAGTTCTTTTGAGAGAAGATTACAGTCAACCTCAGATCTGCGCCTGCATTTTTTACAGCCCACAAATGGGCCTAGTACTTATTATTTTATTAACTCATTTCCCAGAAATGTTATTCCCCCTTTGCACAGTCCTTGACCAGAAACCTACAAAAACAGCCATTAAAAAAAAAAAAAAAAAAAAAAAAGGTTAAACAAAGTGCAGTCAACAGACAAGCTGATGAACTTGAGATACTTTTCTTTTGTAATTTTGTTCACTTTTAAGAGGTCATCCAGAATGTTTTTCATTTAAGCATTGTCAGACTTCAGCAGTGTAGGAGACCAGCTGGTTTTGTATCTATAAAGCAATTTGCAGCCCCCATATAGTAAGAATTCAACTTTGTGACATAAGGAACACTGACTTTTCTTTGATCTTTGAATAATAGAATTTTCAGAAAATTTTCTGCATTAAGTTATTGTTAGAGCCCTCAGAAAACTTGCCTTGAAGCTCTTTTTGGATCATGCCTGCTTCCCACTGCACTGAGCTTGACAGTTCTAAGAACCTCTTGGATGTGAGTCACATTTCGTCTTTTGTAATAGAATTATTTCCTTGTATTCATGAGGCACCCTTCCTTCTCTGTCTTGATGTTTTTTGCTGATTACGCTGCCTTCCACACGGATACTTTGAAATCCAGTCCTTCATTCTAAAAACAGGTTTAGAATGGGTGTATATGAAGGGAAATGGGAATAATGTGAACTGGAAGTTGTGTAGCAAGCAGCAGATGCTCACACATACTCTCACTCATCGCTTATTGCAGAGGTGGGGAAACATAGAGCAGCTATGCTTGTTACCAGTCACAGGAAGATGACCGCAGAAGTGATGAGGGTGTGCTTTGAGAGCCAGTAAGAGCTCTGCACATTCAGGAGGAACAGCAAATCCAGCTGCTGCAAGCAGCTCTTTTGAGAGCCACCAGCCTGCTGAGGGAAGTAGGAGAATGCCAGAAACATGAAGACAATGCAAGCTTGTTGATCCACCCCTGCTGACTGCAGGAAACTTCTTTGAGGTTGGCACCCTCCTACATAGCCACCCTTTTCCTTTAAACCTTGCTTACTTGTCTTCAGTGCCTCTAGATTTTCAGCAAACAGAGACCACACCTTTTCTCTGTCTTCTGTCAGTAATACCGCTGTTGTCTTTGCTAAGCCCCTTCACAAGTTTCTGCCTGCTCTGCGGTCAGGTGTTGACTCTCAATTGCTAGGGATTTAGGGGTGTTAGAACAGACTTTCTCCCAGGCAGACGCCAAGTCACTTGGTCATGACATTTGCCATAAAAGTCCTTGATTGCAACTTGCTTTATTTTGAAATGATAAAAACTCTTTTCTCTGATACATACCCCAAAGCCCCAATGTGCACAGGGTGGCGAACTCTTTGGAAAAGTCAAACTCAAATTTGCAGCATATGGTTTTAAGCATAGCTTGTCATGTACACAGAAAAAAACATTAAAGATACATATATATCCATAAACTATATGTAGCTAAGGAAAATTAAGCCAACTATGTTACGTGTACTACAATTTTTACTGTTTGTACCTAAAAACATTTGGAGGCAAAGATAAGTACTCCTGTAAGGCTACAGATGCAGTAAATAGGATTGCCAGTCAGTCATGTAACACTAGGGCATTTGGGTGCAAAGAGCATTGAAAACACTCACATGGTGTACAGGTACTCAATTTATTAGGTGTACTTCTATTCCACTAATCTTGTCACAGCACAGATTAAGCTCTTCAAATGTTTTTTCTCCTTAAATATAAGACCACGTCAGCTTAGCTTGGATTTAGGTGTTTATTTTCCAGATTTATTACTAAATCAAAAATGATAGACATTACAGTTCAGCATAGAAAAAGCAGTTCTCTTCTCCACCAAAGCCATCTGCTAGGAATCCATTCTTTTCTGAGATTTCAATATCTACTGTTCCATTTCAGAATTGTCCTCTCAAACATGAGAGATGTTCCATTTCAGAGTTGTCCTCTCAAAGATCTCATGATCTTATTCCCTCTCCCCATCATACATCAGCATACATTCCATTGATCAAGTAATCCAGCCTGGTATAATGTCTCTTCTGAAGAGATTCGTGTATTTTCTTCCCCGTCAGTGCAATAACTAGTAACAAGAATATCACCCCAAAAAGCAAAGCCACTACAAGGCTGCTTTTTTCTCCCATCTGAGCGACACCTTTCCCTCTCAGAACACTCTCTGGCAGGTAGCTTTCTGAATCAGATGGGTCATAACCCTGAGGATCATTTTGGGAAGCTGCCGGGGAATCAGTAGTAGACAGATTGAAACCTGAAAAAGAGAGGAGGGTAACATGGCTGGTATCGTTGGAAGAGACAACTCTTGGCTCCAGAGGCATGGCTGGAGTTCTTAGCCCTGATGGGGGAGTAGCAGATCTGTAATTTGTGGTTACCTGCTTGGTTGTTGAAGTAGAAGCAGAAGTTGTGGGACTGTAAAGAGGAACCTGAGGAACAGCAGTGGTGGCGGCAGGGATACCGGGTTTAGCTCTAGTGTTTGCAGTGGGTGGAAAGGTGGCTGTGGTGGTGGCAGCAGTAGGTTTAGCACCACCAGTAGGCAGAGAGGTTGTACGAGATTCCAGTCTGGTGGTAGTTGTAGGCAGAGGAGTAAAAGTAGTACTGCTGGGTGCAGGAACACTAGACTGAGTGGTGGGGAAAGAAGGAGAGGGGTTTCCAATTTGAACAGCAGAAGATGTATTTGACTGCAAGTTAATTACTTTCTGCCTCGGGATGGGGTCTAAGATCTCAGGATGTTCTGCCCTTTGAGATTCAGGAAAAACAGTATGAAATTCACTGTTGTCTAAATGCTTGGCCACATGGTTCAGGAGTTCAGATGCTTGACGAAGATCAGATTGTTGCAATGCTGCGGTACGATTCCGATGGCTAGTCTGAGTGCCAGAAATAAAGGCTCCAGCATCCAAAGACAAAGAATACCCATTTGAAGAAAAGTCCTTACTTTTGAAAGATGTATCCTCCAGAGTATAGGTGTCTGAAAACAGAAACAAACAAACAAAAAAAACCCAACAGTATTTAATTACTACATCTATTTTTGACTACTACAGACTTACTGTAACAATTTGTATTTCTTACTAAGAGAGATATAAGGGGGCTCCAGAAAGTAATGACTAATGAAACTGAGGCATCAAGATCTTCCTTTGTTTAAAATATGGTGAGTGACTATTAAATTCTGTGTCATAAGACCTGTCAGTCTAAAGCCTGGGCACACCAGACCCCAACTGCCTCTTCTTACAGAATTCACCTGTGCAGACCGCGCATCCCAATCTGACTGATTTATACTCTTATGGCATGCATATGTGTGTTTTATTTAGCATTGCAATGCAGAGTGAGTAGGCTCATTGGTTTTAAACCATTCTCAGCCTCTGTCAGTTAAGAAGTAGATTATTATCAACCTCACTTCTGTCACATGTACACATTTCCACCTAGCCAAGAAGATTATAAACTTCCCTTTCTTGTAATATGCAAACACCTTGCAATTGTTTGATACAATTCAATTCACACACAAAAATTGTCTTATGATACAAGGTAGCAATAATATCCCCATTTTATAGACAATTTTATATGCATACTGATCTGTAGGAAAGACCTGAGCTCCTATTGCCATGCTAGAAGAAAGACACTGCTCCAAGAGCCTCTGAGGTATTTGCCGTGAAGGACTCCACAAAAAGCAGACTGCATTCGATCATTCCTCCAGAAGTTAAGATGTATTGCTTGCAAACCAGGTGGGTGAATGTTATTGAATAGAATTTGGAAGCAAGGCAGCAGCATTATGTGACAGAAATTCCATACAATTTATAATCCATGCACCTACTTAATTCTACACAAGTGTAAAAGAGAGACTTTGGGTGAGCACAAGCTCTTGGGAAGACTGGCTGTTGTCTTCAGTCTTTATAGATATATTCACACACAAATAATACATGCATACATATGTATAATTGTTATCGTTCAGGTGCCATGCAGAACATTTAAAAGGGAACATCTTCTCAAGTAGTTCTGACTCTCACTCATCTCACTCATTGTTAACTGCACTGGAATTCAAATACATAACAAAAAGTCCATGACGTTTTCATTGTCATTTTTTTTTAATGAAGTAGGAACTCATATCTAGAGGGATTAATTTAATTCAGTTTTACTATACATATAAAGAAGCCTACCTGGCTGCTGTTTTAATATGTATTTCCAAGCCTTAAGACTCCACAAAGAAAGAAATGCAAAAAAAAACCCAACACAAAACCAACAAACCAAAAAAACTGGCAATGCTTTAATACTTCAGCAAATACCTCACTTGAATCATAGACACCAATTTTTATCCTAACCTTCGAGTTAGGCAACAGCTTGTTAGCAAAGTAAGATCCTAAACTCCAGCCACAAGGTCTGACTTAGAGAAAAGCCATACTCTTTTTTTAGAGAGTGGCTTTAAATAATGAAATGTTCTGTTATTACAGAATCAGAAACTTTATGGTCAAAGACACCCAAACTCTCAGCTGCTTCTGCAGCTCTGGACACATTTCCACACCAGCGAGGAAATGGCCTGACACCACAATGGAGTCAGTCCCCAGGTCACTTTTTCCCTGTTCTGATGCCCTCCCACAGATGCTTCCTCCCCCTGTGTTGTCACAGCGGATGTAGTGTGACAGCTACAAAGCAGTTGCAGCATGCTATGTCATCTTCAGCTCACTTGCCTGGGCAACAGCTAGAGAAGTGCAGAACATGCACGCAGCGTTCAAAGGATGGGTAAAGGGAGCACAGGGAGGCTCCGTGATGAGTCCCATATGGGGATTTAAGTATCACTGCTACTCTGCAGCACTCGGATTAATTAACTGCCTGCACTAACTAACTCTACTCCATATTTTCAGCATCAAACATTGATTTCATAGTATTCTTTGTCTCCATTTTAGACTACAAGCTCCCAAATGCAATTGCCCAAAGCTGTCAATGTGCAAGGTACAGCTGGGGTACTAGGATAGCTATGCTTGTTGGTAAGAAAGAAGAAGGGCACTAGACAAGTTAACCTCTAAAAACAGATTAAAAACCAAAGCGGTCCTGCTGATGTCTCAAATCTAATAAGAAACCAAACTCAGGGTTGTCACTCCTAAAAACAAACTAAGCACTTCCTGAGCATACTTTGCTAGAACCCACCAGTATCTTAGTGGGGTGGAAAAGGCAAACACCAAAGTAGTACATGAAGAGCAGAAATCAGAAATGTTGTTTTCTGCAATAGCTCTTTGTGACTGGGACCAAGGAGATGTTTTGCTTCCCGAGCCATATTTTGTTTCCATTAGTTACCAAGCCACAAGAACGGTTAAAAAAATTAAAACAAAATCTCATTACTAACATAGTGCCAGTATTTTAGGTTGCTTTATTACCAATAGAGTATCTTTCCCCATTTTAGTTTGATTTTCAGTGTAACCACATCCAGATTCTCATGTGAAAAAACAGAGCTTGAAATGTTTGTCAGGACCAACACCGCTCAGGTGCTACCTTTGAAAACTTATAAGGAACATAAGGTAAACAAGCTAGCATAATCTGTCCATAATTCAAGGTTCACAGAAGCTAAAAAATGCAAAATGAAAACCAGGCATTACATGCAACCAAGTTGTTAACTGAGCATTACACTACACGCAGAAGGAAAGCACAAGCACGATTACATTTCTTGTTTCTTTGTTTGAAACCCCTATATTTTTCTACAGGATAAAGAGTCGGAGAAAAGAATAGTTCTAACAATAATTTTACAGGCATACAATTCATTTGTTGCACATTGCTTTTGCCCAATTCCTGTGTGATAGTGTTGCACAAAAATATTTGGTAACATTATGTGAATAATCTTTCTACATATCCTGCTGTCGCTCCTTGCACAGTTCCTCTTGGAATAGTTCTCTTTTTGAGCAAAAGTTCAGTCTCTGGAAATAGGAAATTTCTGCTCTCTCAAGCAGCTACCTTGTGAACTCTTGGCAGGAGGACAGTCTAATTATCAGTTTCTTATCTGAGCCGTAGAAACAGATCTGGTGCAAGCTGATGTTAAGTCAATAAGACTTACTATTAAAAATCCCACAGCACATGACAGTAAGAAATTTCTGAGCATGCAACCCACATGCCATAAAACTTTGAGCTTAGTCTGTCTGCATCTGTGCTTCAGGTTTCCTAACTGAAAGCAGAAAATAGTGATCACTATTGCCAATTACTCAGTAACATCACAGCAGTACTCCGAGGCTCGCCCAACATTTGCTTGGTGTTTCTGCTTGTGTGTATATGGTATTCATCAGCGTAGCATGGATCCCTGGAATGTGCAGATGGCTACAAGGGCATCATATTTCCATTGCTTTCAGTAATACTCTTCAGTATTACATACAGGAAATTTTCCTTCTTGAATACATCAAGATTGAAGCAGCAGCTTCCTCAAAACTATGAGGAGTTCTGAATCTAGTGTGAAGGCATGTCGTAAGGGTTGGGATGTTATTCCAACTGGGAAGCTGGGCCCATGCACACACCTGCCCATCTACCCACAAAGCATAAAAGCAGCATTTTCAAATTACAATGCTTGTCTTAGAATATTTTATTAAAAACGCACCCCCCAAAACATTTTCTGGTTACTTCTGAAAACTCACAGGTGCAAAAGTCATCTAGCATGGGGACTGGTGGCTCTTACTATTATTTACCTCTAGTTATCTTGTAGCTCACAAACCCTGTTGCGGGTTTCATTGGACAGGCCTCTGTGCTAGGGCAGTAAAACAGGTAGCAGCTTGGATGCGCACTTGCCCTTCGAGGATCAAAAATCATCAAGTTACACTCCTTGTCTCCTGTAAAACATGATATGTACATATTTCAGCAATAAGAACTTTTATACCATCTTAAGCTCTGGTCTGTTAAATCAGTTTTTCCTCGTGCGAGTAGGAGGAAAACTACTAACATGTAACATTCCTGCAAGAAAAACAACCCAGGACTGCAACAGAATGGCTCAAGGCCAATATACAAACAGTCACACCTTCCTCTTCCTGTACAGATGAGCTTGGGGAAATAATGAGTCTAATCCCTCATCCTCCCCCCCATCTGTACCTCCAATATAATAATTTCTCACAAATCCTGATAAATATGAAAACCTTCTTGATATGGGGAAGGAAAGGATTTATACTCTTTTCCCCATCACAGGAGTTCCTTGGGTTGTTGCTGCTTGGGGAGTCACTTTTAACACTGTCATTTCTTCTTGCTCTGCCTCCCACTGCTCCAAAAGCTTGATGCAAACCAGCTGTCTCAGAGAAGGGTAAGCACTCTCATTTGTCTAAAATTAAATGTAGTACAAAATGTGAGTTACTTTATAGCGTGTCTATTAAATACAGCTTATGCATCTTGGAGTTTGGCGGTCTGAGAGTTTTTGACATTTAAAATCACCACGGTTTCTTTACTGCAACTATTTTCCTGAACATTCTGGGGTCTTGCACTAAGATCGAACATCACACTTGGCAAAACAGGGTAACAGTCGTGAGCTGTTACTAGTCGCAGCGTGAATGAAAGGATAAATTAACGCTTCCGTGTTCAATACAGAGAGTACCCTTGTCCCGGACAACCTCAGAAGTAATTTCCCGAAGTGTTCGTACGCAGTAACAGAAAAGACCAGAGAGGAGCCGGTTACCTGACAACTTTTCCCCCGAGCAGCAGGCGCGAACGCAAGCCTCCGCGGTGGGGGCGTACACCGGCTCCGCTTTTCCCCGGGCCCCGCGCCCCGGACGCCCCTGGGCAGGGACAAGTTTATATCGATGATGGCACTTTCCATCTTCTCCGCGGAGCACTCCCGACTCAGGGAC